GGAGCAAGAGCATGTGTGCTCTCTTCCATCATAAAATGGAGCCTGGTTCGATAGAAGCCAGCCCCATGGTCAAGTGCTTAGGGAGGTCTACGTGGGCTGTCTAGGAATTAGGAGTTGGCTTACTGTGGGTATAATGCGCTTACATAAATTAAGTCTGTAGGAAAGAGAAGTGAAGGAGAGGGCAGTGGTAGTGCATATTGTTTGCATGCAGAAGGTCCCAGGTTCAGTGTCTAGCACAGGCATCCCCAATGTGGTGTTCGTGGGCACTATGGTGGCCACTGATGGATTTCCTGCCACCCGTGTCCCCTTGCAATACGTCTCTTCCCCAGAGCAAATATCTGGTTCTGACTTTCCTCCACCGCATTGAAGCAAGAGGGGCTTCAAAAGAAACCTAGGCAGTACCACCTTTGTCTGCAGAAGTAGAATGCTCTACCATCCCTTGTGGGAGGATGCCTGGCTTCCAACCTTCTGATGTTTTGTGATTGGTCCCAGTATCCTGTCTGTGTTAAGTCCCATCAGGTCACTTCCGACTTATGGAGAGCTTGTGAATGAATGTCCTCCCAAATGTCCTATCGTTAGCAACCTTGCTCAGGTCTTGCAAACTAAGGCCCACGGCTTCCTTGATTGAGTCAATCCATCTCATGGTGGGACTTCCTCTTTTCCTGCTGCTTTCAACTTTTCCTAGCATCACTGTCTTTGCCAGTGACCCTTGTATTGTCATAATGTGGCCAACGTACCGATAGCCTCAAGTTGGTCAATTTAACTTCTAGGGAGAGTTAGGCTTGATTTGATCTAGAACCCACGTATTTGTCTTATTGGTGGCCCACGGAATCCATAAAACGCTTCCCCAACACCACATTTCAAATGTGGTATCCTACGATAGCCATTTTGGGTGGTTCCCATTCTTCATTCTCAAAAGTCCCCAACTGCTTTGAGGCTCAGTAAGATTGTGGACCCCTGCCTTAGCATCTGCAGTTGAAGCTGCTGGGTAAAGACCACCTTGTCGAGCTGTTCCCAGTCTGAATAGGCAGTACTGGGCTAGTCTAACTCATAGACTTTATGGGTTCACTCTGTCATCTGACCAATTTGGGCACACCTGTTGTTGAAGCCAATATGTGTATTTATTTATTTATGTTATTTATAGGGAACGATCAGACATGAACATCTGGGAAGCGCCCCGCACCCGTCGACAACCCGTTTTGCTCTACCACAGAAGCGGGGTACAAAGACACCGGGGAAAATCCAGTAGTAAATGGGTCACGACGGGCCACGGATGGAGTTTCCCGTGTCTGATCGCTCCAGCGTGCTCTCATGGCATCAGGATGGTCTGATCAGGCCATCCCGACGCCGTGCCATTGTCCCCCCCCCTTCTCGGTATGCGCATCAACGCAAACTCCATAGGGAGACCTCAGTGCGGAGATGCGATTCATCGATTTCTCATGTAAGCGCATCAGAAACAAACAACAAAAAAACCAACCCAACTCACCCGCAGTTGCGTCTGATCATGAAGTGGTGGGCTGTGCCCGCAGCTTCCAAGGACTGTGTGATCGAGCAACTGCGGGTCAAATTTCTCCGGAAGAAATAGCCTCGCTTCCCCCCCCTCGCTTTATCTCGCGCATGTGACCGCCCACATAGTCCACCTTTTTTCCACTGGGACTCACAGCGGATTACATAGAGTGAGTCAATACAGTCAGTGGGATGGGACATTCATAGAATCATAGGATGTTAGAGTTGGAAGGGACCTTACAGGTCATCTAGTCCAACCCCCTGCACTCTGCAGGAGCATAGCTGAAAGATAGCCCTACATACCTACAGTATACCTACAACAGGCATGTCCAACTTCGAACAGGTACTGATCTATTTTTTCCGGCCAAAAGTGCCAGTGATCACCACCATGAAAACAAAGTTTTAAATTAGTTTCAAATTAGATTTTAACCCACTAAAGTTGGGTTCCACTGCCCACCAACCCCCATTTATAATGCGCCTTCTGTCATTTACTGGTAAGGGGCTGGTGATCTACCTCTGACCCCTCCACGATCTACTGGTAGATTGTGATCTACCTGTTGGACATACCTGACCTACAACATACATTCAATGAACAATGCAGTGGAATCTGGGTTGTAGAACCAACCAGAAGTCTAAAAAAAAAAAAAACTGAAGCAAATACGGCACATCAGATGGTGTAAAATTGCACCGTAGGATCCAACCCACAGCAAACTATGTACATAAATGCAGACCACAGTCCCCAATAATTTATCCAGGTAACTTTGTGAAGCCTTTTGTACAGTGGTTTGCCTGTGTGGAAAAGCCCTCTTGAATAATTCAGTTTTGCAAACTTTGTGGAAAGCCAAGGAGAGGGGGAGCCTCCCTGTCCACCTCTGGCAGGCCATCCCATGAGGTGGGAGCCACAACGGAGAAGGCACATGTGCGGGCAGTTGTTGATTCTGCTTATTTGCAAGGGGAGCTGTACACATGAGGTTCAGGAACAAATCTGCTCTGCACTGAAGACTCATTGTGCCCTTGATTCCTGAGAGCACTTAGCTTATGTGGGGAGAGGAGGGGGAGGGCACACGTAAATAAAATTAAAAAGAGAGAGAAAACTCTGGCAAAATTAGCCAACCACGATAATGAAGGTTCCTTGTAATGCCTCTTTATTTCTATGGAGGAAATTAACCAGTTGCTCATAATTGTATGGTCTCTAGGCCAGACGGTCCCTTTGAAAAGTTAACATGTACTCTCTTTCGATTCCTGGTAGGGGGTAAGCAAATGCCGGCACAAACACAACATCAGCCCCACTGCGGAGAATAGCAGTTGCATGTCTTAGATCGAGATAGTAAGTGTGGGCATTGTTATTTAGATGGAACACACTGGAGCACTTATCTTTTAGTACACTCCATTTTCGAACTGAATGCCGTGCTAATCGCGGGATTGGGAAGCTATTGTAATTGTGCACCCCTCTAAATGCTGACAAGAATATACAATTACATTGTTTGGAACCGAGGTTAACATTCCCTGGTGCTGTATTAGCATTTGTATTTACTTGTGCATTAAAAACGTCGCCCGGCATATAAGGGAAAAACCCACCAAGGTCAGGATTCTGAAGTGATAAACAGTGAACCTCACCCATGCCCTTGGTATCTCCCCTGTAAGTACTGAAGATATATATTTAAATTACTGATATACATATGAATGATTGGGTGATGGGTTGTCAGGCATTGCTTAAGCAATTATCCAAGGCATCTTAGCTGGCCACTATTGAGAGCCAGTTGCTGGATTGGACAGACCATTGAGTGTTGGGTTTTCTTTGTGTGTGTGTGTTCCTCTATGAGATACAGCAGCTAGATTGGGCTCTGGCAGCACCTTAGAGATCAACGACATCTTTGGGGTATAAGCTTTTGAGCATCAAAGCTCCCTTTGTCAGATCTAAGAAAGAGAGCTCTGATGCTCGAAAATTTATACCCCGAAAATCGTGTTGGTCTCTAAGGGGCTACTGGATTCGAATTTAGCTTTCGAGTACCATAGCTCCCTTCTTCAGATTTTTGGGATATAAGCTTTCAAGCGTCAAACCTCCCTTGATGCTCGAAAGCTTACACTCCAAAAGTCTTGCTGGTCTCTAAGGTGTTACTGTACTCGAATCTAGCTGCTACTGGACTCAAATCTAGATTTTGATTTTCAGATCTCCCTTCTTCAGATCCTCAGGATATAAGCTTTTGAATGTCAAACCTCCCATGATGCTCGAAAGCTTACACCCCCAAAAGTCTCTAAGGTGCTACTGTACTCGAATCTAGCTGCTACTGGACTCAAATCTAGATTTTGATTTTCAGATCTCCCTTCTTCAGATCTTCAGGATATAAACTTTTGAGCATCAAACCTCCCTTGATGCTCGAAAGCTTACACCCCCAAAATCTTCCTGATCTCTAAGGTGCTCCTGGACCTGAATCTAGCTACTACTGGACTCAAATCTAGATTTTGAGTATCAAAGCTCCCTTCTTCAGATTTTTGGGATATCAGGTTTTGAGCTTCAAACCTCCCTTGATGCTCGAAAGCTTACACCCTGAAAATCTGGTTAGTCTCTAAAGTGCTACTGGACTCGAATCTAGCCGCTACTGGACTCAAATCTAGATTTCGAATATCGGGATCCGTTTGTCAGATTTTTGGGGTATAAGCCTTCGAGCGTCAAAGATGCCTTTATCATATCTGACAAAAGGGGTTTTTGATGCTCGAAAGCTTATGCCCCCAAAATCTGGTTGGTCTCTGAGGTACTCCCGGACTTGAATCTTGCTGCTCTACTGGAGACCAACACGGCTACCCTCTAAAAGCTGTATTGGTAGGGCTCCCCCTGCCATTCTGCTCTGTAGATTTCATAATATTTGCAAAGCGTTTTCCATCCGGAATTTTAATAATATTATTATTTTTATTTCCAACGTGCGTGTTACGGGGAGGGGGGGGGCTTGCCCCAGCATGTTCACCATCACACTATGTTTAAACACATTGTAAAGTGGATGTAATCGTAAACACACCAAGGGATGTAATTACATGTAGCAGATTTAGGCGCTAATTCTTTTTGCCTTTTATTTTTTTCCCCCTCCCCACTCTGCATTTTTATCAACATAATTATTTTTTTTTCTCCTGACGGCAAGACTAACACCCTGAAATTGACAAGCTTCCATTATAAGCAGAAACTTGTTCTCTAAATTGAAAAACAATGAGCGACAGGTTTCTAGGCGCCCATTGTCACGGGGAATGGCTTTGTTCCGCGAGAGGAAAAAGCTAATGATTTTGAAACAGCAGGTGACAAAACAGATTCTTTTTTCCCCCCTCCCCTCGCTCCCCTCTTATCAGTTTGTTGATGAAGTCATTATGAACCCGGGTCCAGGATAGGGGAGGCTTTATTTTTAGCAGATAGACTTTTAATGAGTTCTATTGTGCAGTCAGTCATGTTGATTCGCTTACTTTTTTCCCCCCCTTCTTCCCCTCTCTCCCTTTTCTCCTTCATTCAGAAACCCCTAGCATTGAAAAGCTACTATCAAAAGATTGGAAAGACAAGCTTCTTGCCATGGGATCAGGGAACTTTGGAGAAATAAAAGGTAACCTTGTTTCTTTCAATTTGAAGGGATTCGGCAGCAAATGCTATATATATGATTTCAATTAGCGCTAACGAAGTCTTGTTGCTCTTTCCGACGTGGCACTTCTTTGCCAGACTTCGGGGCTCAATCCTTCTCTTGAGAATGTGCTCTGACCGGCAGGGAGGGGCTTTCAACTGCATCCGGAACCATCTTTATTTCACCATCAGCTTCCAGCGGTTGGTCTTTCTCCAAAGCGCTGGTACCCAAGATACTTCCAGTGGAAGCTAAAGCACAGGGGCGTGGGGGAGAGTTAGGTTGCCAGCTTCAAGTTGGAAAACTACTGGAGATTTGGGGATGGAGCCTGGGGAGGGTGGCGTTCGGGAGGGGCAGGTTCTCAGCAGGGTATAATGCTACAGAGTCCCCACTCCAAAGCTGCCATTTTCTCCAGGGGAAACGATCTCTGGAGATCAGTTGTAATCAGGGGTCATTTCATAGAAAAAGAGATGCAGGAGCTCATTAGCATAACTCATTAGCATAACTTATTTGCATATGCCACACTCCCTAACATCACTGGAAGTGTGTCAGAAGGCAATACACACTGCTCAGGCTCCACTGGACTGTTTTGGATTGCTAGCTATTGGGGAGGTGGGAACGTGCTCTGTCCTCGCAGAGGAGGGAGAGCTTGTACCTGAATAAAACTTGGTCTTAAAGGTGCCACTCGACTGTTTGGGGCCGGGTCGCGGGGGGGGGCTCTGCAACTTACCTGGCTGCTTTCTTACTCTGACTGAGGGCTGCTAGGTGCAGGGGGTGGGGCTTGTTGCATGTGCCTGCCCCCTGGGCTCTTTACTGCCGGAGCTCTGCTCCTGTGCGCTCCTGCAGGAAATGACCCCTGGTTGTAATTCTGGAAGAACTCCAGGCCCCACATGGAGTTTGGTAGCCACAGGGAGAGCCTGCAGTGGGTTGCTAATGTTGAACTGGGGGAGGACCTTGAATGTACATAGAAGTCACAGTGCACCATGTTTAGAAGCCGTGTGGCAGTGGTATCTTATGATAGGCCCCTGTGGCGGCTGCTCCATGCCTGCTCTCTGTAAGCACGGAGTGTCAGACTTATCAAGAACATAAGAGAAGCCATGTTGGATCAGGCCAATGGCCCGTCCAGTCCAACACTCTGTGTCGCACAGTGGCCAAAACCCAGACGCCATCAGGAGGTCCACCGGCAGGACCATAAGAACGTAAGAGAAGCCATGTTGGATCAGGCCAGTGGCCCATCCAGTCTGACGCTCTGTGTCGCACAGTGGCCAAAACCCATCAGTACCATCAGGAGGTCCGCCAGCAGGGCCAGAACCATGCTGCTGTTTTCCCTAGATCCACGAGTAGCAGGAAGACTCAGGAAAAAGTTCAAGAAGGTTTCAGCTCCTTCGGATGGGACAGTCCTGAAGGCTGGTGGCATCCCTGTAACATTTGGCTTATTGACAGCTATTCAGGCAGAGCACAATGAGAGCTCTTGTAAGCAGTGACGGTTGTGTCCCCCTGGGCTCAAATCAGAGTTGTGCTCTGGATGACCAAGCCGCAGTGACGGTTGTGTCCCCCTGGGCTGAAATCAGAGTTGTGCTCTGGATGACCAAGGAACTTGCCCCTAAATCTAAAAATGGCTCTGCTTTTCCTAAGTGCAACTCCAAGCTCTGTGATTCTCTTTCTTCTTCCGCACCTGGTGGCAGCTGATGCTGGGCAGCATTAGCAGTTGGAAGGGATGGGCTGCATCGGCCAATCAGCCAGCCAATGGGTCAGAATGACTGATGGGTCATTCTTCCACTTCTTTCGGATTCCCCCTCCATTTTTCTCTAGTTGCTTGGATGTAACCAGTTCAGGGTACCAGCATAGACATTCTGTACAATGCAGAGTCTCTCTCTTCCATCCTCCTTGATGGCTTTGCCTGCCCGTTTCCAGTGCCTTGGGCCAAAATATGTCCTTTCTACTGAAGCAAATTGGGAAGCTCCCTCTTTTAGAAGCTTTATACGTAACGTACATCAGAACAGGCATAGATCTTAGTTCAGAAGAGGTGGTGGGAGAAAAATAATAAATTGAATTGTCATGTGTGCCATTATGTCACTTCTGGGGAAAATCTGGAAGTGATGGAGAAGTAGCTCCAGGAATCACTAGAAACTCTATGGTTTTACCATGGATTTTTTGTTGATTCCTAGAGCTACCCTATGTCACTTCCGGAGGTTTTTTATTGGAAGGGATGTGGCATGTGCCCCACTCCCAAACCTCCTGCCTAACTTACTGAGATCCTTTAACTGGAGCTACCAACGATTCAGTCCGGGACCAACTACCTGATCTTTTGAACTCCAGATGCCAGGGACTGAACCTGTGGCCTGCCGCATGCCAAGCATATGCTCTAACCACTGCATGACTTGAGAAATAACAAGCCCCTCCCCACATATGTCTGCTGATTTTCATCCTAAAATTGTGTGAAGATGACACCTTTGTTGAGAATGGTGTTTGTGGCTTCCTTGAGGATATCAAACAAGACCCATTAAGGGTATAAAACTTTTACTGGGCCAGCTGGAAGCAAGCTTTCAAATGACGGTGCTGTTCTTTCTGTTTAGGTGTCGAGAGTGTGATATATAGGTGTGTGTCTGTGTGTTTTAAAAAAGAGATGTTGGGGGTTCTGATGGATGGCAAGCTGGTTGTCTGTGTCGCTGGAGAGAAGATAATCTGCTCAGAGCCCCCATGGGCTCATCCCGTCAAAGGCCAATCTCTTCCTTCTCTTTTTTTTTGGCTCTTTCTCTTTTACGAGTTAAAGCGGAAGGGGGCGGCTGCTGTGAGCAGCTTCCACAAAAGAAAATCTCCCACCCTTTTGGCCTTGCCTAGGGGAGAACTAGGAAAGCAAAAACAGGGGCTTCGAAGAAGGGGCAGCGTCACAGCTTGGTTCCCTTGGAACTTCGAGACTCCTTTTCAGAACACTGTCACGAGTCCTTTGTGGAACAAGAGCCCCAAATCTGTGGGGAAATTGGAGCTGGGTGGCATGGCGATTGGGCAGTGTTTGACTCAGGTTTGCCATCCACCTGGGGAAATTTTTTTGGACACCTCCTGCTTAGGCCTCCAGAAGTCAGAAGGAATGTGAGCCCCAGCTTTCACAGTCCGTATTCATGATGAATATCAAGACTGTGCGAGCTGATTTTTGGACTTAAAAGTTATCTCTTTCCAAGGGGATTTTTCGACAGCTGACGTTTTAGCCGAACTAGATGTGACAGCGGCCAAGGGGCCGATCCATGGCCACTGAGGCTGTTTTAGAGAAGAATGCATCTATTTAAAAATTGCCGCGAGGGCTCGGTCAGGTTAAGGGCATGGGGACAACAGGTGATCTTGTCCCTCTGTATTTTACAAGGGGAGTGAGCATGGTGTGGAAGGAGAAGCAGACCTGAATTTTATACCCTGCTTTTCTCTACCCTGAGGAGTCTCAATATGGCTTACAACTCCCTTCCCTTCCCCTCCCCACAACAGGCACCTTGTGAAGTAGGTGGGGCTGAAAGAGTTCTAAGAGAACTGTGATGTTGTAGTGGTTAAGAGCAGCAGACTCTAATCTGGAGAACCGGGTTCGATTCCCCACTCCTCCTCCACATGGAGCCTGCTGGGTGACCTTGGGCCAGTAACGGTTCTCTCAGAACTCTCTCAGCCTCCCCCCCCCAGGGTGCCTGTTTTGGGAAGATGAAGGGAAAAGCAATAGTAAACCACTTTGAGACCTTAAGGTAGAAAACACGGGGTCTAAAAACCTACTTTTCTTTCTTTAGAATGCAGAGACAGCTGTGCAGTCTGTTTGTTTGGCTCTTTAAAAGGCACCGGGGGCACAAATAAAGCATGTTGCTACCTGTACGTCATGTGTTTTTTTTTAATTGCTAGATTCTCCTCTAAAATGGCGTCAGTGACCATGGGTTGATTCCATGGCTGATGTCTAATTAGGAATTCCAGCCTCCAGATGGGACCTGGGGATCATCCAGAATTACACCTCATCCCCATACTGCATAGATCAGATCTCCTGGGGAAAATGGATGCTTTGGAGATTGCGGTCTATGGTGTTGCACCCATGGCAGCCCCTGTCCCCCCCCAGGCTCCATCTCCAATTTTTTAGGATTTTCCCAACCTGGATCTGGCCACCCGACCCCCCACCAGTGGCCAGGGGGACCTGGCTACCATACATCTAGTTTGGCCCTTATTAGTTGTTCCAGGTGGCAAGAGAGAAGGAAAGAGACCTGTAGATTGTGGACTTCTGGAAGGGCTAAATGAATTGTGCTTGCAGGCAGTGTTTCCTCTAAGCTATGGAGTCCTGTGAGCAAAAGTTCTACTTGGTGAGCGACTGGCATTAAAGTTGTGAGCGAGCGGTTTTGGCTGCTGCATAAATTACTTTGCTCTGGAGCCATCCTTCCTGAGCTAAGGCAAAAAATGTGTGAGCCAGAGGCTAAAAAACTGTGGGCTAGCTCACACTGACTCAGCTTAGAGGGAACACTACTTGCAGGCTCTCTCTCTGTCCATATTTTTTTCTCCTTCTGGCCTTTCCTCCAAGATGCTCAGAGAGACATGCGTTGTCCTCCCTTTCCCATTCTGTTCTCATATCACTTCCAGGAGGTCAGTTAGGCTGAGAACATACGACCGGCCCATGATCAACAAGCAGCCTTCCGTGGCAAATCGGGGATTTGAACCTGGGCTTCCCCGATCCTAGCCCGACACTCTAACCATTATGATACACGGGCTCCCAGTGTTTTCTGTGAGCTGTTCCCTGCTAAGGATTCCTGGCCCTGCCGCCGTGTGTCAGCGGTGCCAACCCCCAACACGAGGGACCTGCAAGTAAGACGTCAAGGCCTTCGCTCGCAGCTGTATTTGTTGAAACAACACAAAAAAGGTGTGTGCAGCGATCACTCGCACACAGACTGGAAAGAAGGTGCGCCTCATTCCTTCTCCATGAATATGAGCTTGTTAAGGGCTTTCCAGCTCTAAAGTTTTAATTAATTCCTCGATGTATT